CCCTTTTTTCCTGACTCTCCATGGAAATCCCAACTTATTCTACTTCACAGGCTCCGAGCTGAATGAGCCGCGAGCAGGTGAGCATCTGACGGCTGTGGAGTCCCTAGCGAGATGGTGAGAGACATGGGTAACTCCGGCATGTTTCATGAATGGCATCTCTACCGCTGCCAATTCCCAATCACCCAAATGATACATCTGATGTATCGGAAGTCGGGAGTTTGACACACTGTCAGTGCATGGTAAGCTTTGACGCCCCAACTCCTTGACTGCCGGATGGATAGAGGCTTTTACCGGAGACCACTTGCAGTGGAAGGAGTTACTGGATGCATGACTCTTTGCTGTGGTGGAGACTTTCTGTTTTCAGGGGGATGTTGAAACTCCGGATTAACTGAATATTAATCTATTGTATATTGCTGAGAATGGTGGAAGGAGCTTTGTAGAGCTATAGGGAATAACTGGAGGAGCCACACCGAGCTATAGGGAATAATAGGAGGTGCTACACAGAGCTATAGGGAATAATAGGAGGTGCTACACAGAGCTATTGGGATAAAGGAGGAGCTACACAGGGCTATATGGATAAAGGAGGAGCTACACAGAGCTATAGGGAATAATAGGAGGAGTTATACAGAGCTATAGGGAATAATGGGAGGAGTTTTATAGAGCTAGGGGCAATAGTGAGAGGAGTTATAGAGAGCTATAAGGAATAATAGGAGGAGTTAAAATGAGCTATAAGGAATAGTATGAGGAGTTATACAAAGCTATAGGGAATAGTAGGAGGAGTTATACTGAGCTATAGGGAATAGTAGGAGGAGTTATACGGAGCTATAGGGACTAATGGAAGGAGTTTTATAGCGCTATAGGGAATAATGGGAGGGGTTTTATAGAGTTATGGGCAATAGTAAGATGACTTATACAGAGCGATTAGCAATAGTAGGAGGAGTTATACAGAGCTATAGAGGAATAGTAGGAGGAGCTATACAGAGCTATAAACAATAGTAGGAGGAGTTATACAGAGCAATAGGGAATAAAAGGAGGAATTTTATAGCACTATGAAGCATAATAGGAGGAGTTATTTGCAGCTATAATGGATAATAGGAGAAGCTATAATGGATAATAGGAGGAGTTATATGGAGCTATAATGGATAATAGGAGGAGTTATATGGAGCTATAATGGATAATGGGAGGAGTTATATGGAGCTATAGGGAATCATAGGAGGAGCTGTAATAAATAACATTTTTGACAGGAATAAGATGAATTGGTAATACTAGGTGCCACAGGGAGGGCTTACATAAAGTAATGTGAGAAGTTACATAGGGGTATAGGCAAATCATAGAGTGAAGTTGCAGTAGTTATAAGATGTGGGAGTTGGACAAATCTGGGCACCAACCCAACCATGTGGGTTCTCTGGTGAGGTCTTTTTTTTTACAGCGTGATGGAGCGGCAGTGTGATCTTACTCCAAGCATCAGTGGCCTTTATCTCTCATTTCATGTATTTACGTACTTGAGTACAGTATGGAAAATGGTCCGGTGAAATGACCATGAGGCAGAAGAGCTAAGAGAAGATCACACTGGGGTCCCATCAGAGTTTGGGTTTGTAGTAGACTGACCAGGAGTAACTGGCGTAAAATGAAATTGTTTAGAGCCACCACAGTTAAATAATAATATTGAACATACAAGGTGGAGTAATAAAGGAGCCACAAGGTGGAGTAATAAAGGAGCTACAAGGTGGAGTAATAAAGGAGCCACAAGGAGGAGTAATAAAGGAGCCACAAGGTGGAGTAATAAAGGAGCCACAAGGTGGAGTAATAAAGAAGATACATGGTGGAGTAATAAAGGGGATACAAGGTGGAGTAATAAAGGAGCCACAAGGTGGAGTAATAAAGGAGATACAAGGTGGAGTAATAAAGGAGATACAAGGTGGAGATGGTGGAGTAATAAAGGAGATACAAGGTGGAGTAATAAAGGAGATACATGGTGGAGTAATAAAAGAGCCACAAGGTGGATTAATAAAGGAGCCACAAGCTGGAGTAATAAAGGAGATACAAGGTGGAGTAATAAAGGAGATACAAGGTAGAGTAATAAAGGAGATACATGGTGGAGTAATAAAAGAGCCACAAGGTGGATTAATAAAGGAGATACAAGGTGGAGTAATAAAGGAGATACATGGTGAAGTTAGAGAGAACTGTATCATGGAATAAGAGGTGTATAGGAAGTAATAGGAGTCATTATAGAGAGTAGCAGGACGGAGATGTTCCAGCAATATAAGGGTTGGTCTTCACATGTTGAGGTGTATGGGTATACATTTGTTAATGTAGTCTAACAGCCACATGTTTCAGTTCTGCTCTTCTCATGATGCATGGCTTTACAAGGACTAAAAGCTTCCTCTTCTATCAGTACTGGGCATATCCTTCACTCCCTGAGCCACTGTATTAAAGTTTCTCAAGAGTACATCAGTAGCCTCAGCCATTGCACCATGTCACTTGGGTCACGACAAGCTCCAGCTGGTGGACTGGCTTAACTGATGCATGCTTACACTTCAGCTCCTGCCAAGTCTGACAGCCGGTCCCTCAAATAAAAAGGGTCCCTCTGCATGTGTAAAACTTCACACTGTTACATACTAAATGTGCAGCATAAAAGGTCAATTCTTCTAAACGACGGAGTCTACTGATAACTGCATGGAGAAAAAAAAGGCTGGTCTATGGTTTGCCTACTCTGGGGTTATGTCATGTGAGCTGGCGCGATGTGAAGGACATCACACGTAGGGTCTCTTGTATGGTGCTTGTAGGACCATGTCACACTGCAGTATTTAATACCATGATGCAGGACCATGCCACGGTGTACTATTCCATATTTCTCCTGAGGAATAATTTTATATTATGGTATCTAATGAGACATTTGTAGAACCCTATCACAATATAGTTGCTTGTAGCATCTTGTGATCTTTCTATCAGCATCTCATAAGACATTTCTAATATTGTCTCATGGAATGTCTTTAACACCACCATGTCACCTTGTATCTCATGACATTTCTGTAGAAACATTTCTAGTGTCCACACCATGTCTGTGGGAACATGTCACCTTGTACTATCTCATGACACATTGGTGGAATCATGTTCCTTCGTGGTGTCCACGACTTGCCTGTAGGTACATGTCACCTTGTACTACTATCTCATGACACATTTGTAGACTCATGTTCCTTTCTAGTGTCCACGACTTGCCTGTAGGAACATGTCACCTTGGACTATCTCATGACACATTTGTAGACTCATGTTCCTTTCTAGTGTCCACGACTTGCCTGTAGGAACATGTCACCTTGTACTATCTCATGAAACATTTGTAGACTCACGTTCCTTTCTAGTATCCACGACTTGCCTGTAGTAACATGTCATCTTGTACTATCTCATGACACATTTGTAGACTCACGTTCCTTTCTAGTATCCACGACTTGCCTGTAGTAACATGTCATCTTGGACTATCTCATGAAACATTTGTAGACTCACGTTCCTTTCTAGTGTCCACGACTTGCCTGTAGGAACATGTCACCTTGTACTATCTCATGACACATTTGTAGACTCACGTTCCTTTCTAGTGTCCACGACTTGCCTGTAGTAACATGTCATCTTGTACTATCTCATGACATATTTATAGAATCATGTTCCTTTCTAGTGTCCACGACTTGCGTGTAGGAACATGTCACCTTGTACTATCTCATGACATATTTGTAGAATCATGTTCCTTTCTAGTGTCCACGACTTGCCTGTAGGAACATGTCACCTTGTACTATCTCATTACACATTTGTAGAATCATGTTCCTTTGTAGTGTCCACGACTTGCCTGTAGGCACATGTCATCTTGTACTATCTCATGACCCATTTGTAGAATCATGTTCCTTTGTAGTGTCCACGACTTGCCTGTAGGAACATGTCATCTTGGACTATCTCATGACATATTTGTAGAATCATGTTCCTCTGTAGACCCCACGACATGTCTGTAGGAACACGAATCCCATGACACATCTGTATGTTAATTTCAGATTTCAGTGTCTCATGAAATACCTGTGGGACCATGTCTTGTTGCATGATCGTGTCACATGTGTCATACCCTGTATCCCTATAGTAACTCAAGGAATGTCTATCGTTCCCGTCCCGTTGTAGCATCCCATGAGATGTTTGTAGGAACTTGTACCATTATAGTATCTTGTGAGATGTTTGTAGGAACATGTCTCATTATAGTATCTCATGAGATGTTTGTAGGAACATGTCCCATTATAGTATCTCATGAGATGTTTGTAGGAACATGTTCATTTGCAGGACCTAAAATAATGTTTTACTATCTGATTAAATGTCTGTAGGAATAGGTTATATTGCAATATCTGTTGAGATAGAAAAAGCCACCAGAAAGACTTTGTTACTTCTTGGAGTATTGATATAGTACAGAGCCAAAAAGAGAAAAGTGTTTAGACTGTACTGTCCTCTTTGGAGGTTACTACTGTTCTGTATTACTTTGTCACTTATAGGAAGTAGGACAAAGTTGTGATGTCATTTGTAGGAGAATGTCATTCCTGATAATGACAATGACATCGTTTGTGTTGCCTTGGAGACAGATAATTCCATATAGTAGTAGTTCATGTAGAGCCGTAAGACAAAGGTGACTACAACTTAGATGTAGGACAATGTCACCTCTGGAAAACAATCAATGTCTTATTCACGGTCAGTGGTGAAGTCTGGACCACAATAGGCCTGAGGTCTTTACTCGTAAGCTGCAGAGCAGTAATATGCTAAAGGTTGCATATCAGGCAGTAAAGCAGTGTTAGACTGTATTGAAGTATTCTTCTGAAGGATGACTTGCTTGTGTTTCTCTCTCTCTCTCTCTCTTGGGGATTCTGCCACTTTCTGCTTTCTGCATTGTGCATGTAATAGTAAATCCTTCGTACCTCATCTCACCTCATCTGTTTGTCTGTCTTCCTTCCTACTGTTTCCTGGACTTCCGCCCAATCCAGTCCAGCCACGGCAAGAAAAGCACAGTAAGGAGGGGGCATGTTTCTTAAGGGTTTGGGGGAATGGTCTTTCGAGCTGACCTAAACACTAGACATGATGATAATACTGTTCTGCTAAACCCTTTACTGACATAAAACACTACAACACCCAACATGACTAACCACTGGACATAATTATCATACAATTCTATTACACTCTATACATAGAACTCTACACCGGCAACATGGCCGACCACTGGACATGATCATAATACAATTCTATTACACTCTATATGTAGACCACTACACCCCCAACATGGCCGACCACTGGACATGATCATAATACAATTCTATTACACTCTTTATGTAGACCACTACAACCCCCAACATGACCGACCACTGGAAATGATCATAATACAATTCTATTACACTCTATATGTAGAACACTACAACCCCCAACATGGCCGACCACTGGACATGATCATAATACAATTCTATTACACTCTATATGTAGAACACTACAACCCCCAACATGGCCGACCACTGGACATGATCATAATACAATTCTATTACACTCTATATGTAGACCACTACACCCCCAACATGGCCGACCACTGGACATGATCATAATACAATTCTATTACACTCTATATGTAGACCACTACACCTTCAACGTGACCAACCACTGGACATGATCATAAGTCAATTCTATTACACTCTATATGTAGACCACTACAACCCCCAACATGACCAACCACTGGAAACCACCATAAGTCAATTCTATTACACTCTATACATAGAACACTACAACCCACAACATGGCCAACCACTGGACATGATCATAATACAATTCTATTACACTCTATATGTAGACCACTACACCTTCAACGTGACCAACCACTGGACATGATCATAAGTCAATTCTATTACACTCTATATGTAGACCACTACAACCCCCAACATGGCCGTCCACTGGACATGATCATAATACAATTCTATTACACTCTATATGTAGACCACTACACCTCCAACATGGCCGACCACTGGAAACCACCATAATACAATTCTATTACACTCTATATGTAGACCACTACACCTTCAACATGACCAACCACTGGACATGATCATAATACAATTCTATTACACTCTATATGTAGACCACTACAACACCCAACATGGCCGACCACTGGACATGATCATAATACAATTCTATTACACTCTATATGTAGACCACTACAACCCCCAACATGGCCGACCACTGGACATGATCATAATACAATTCTATTACACTCTATATGTAGACCACTACAACACCCAACATGGCCGACCACTGGACATGATCATAATACAATTCTATTACACTCTATATGTAGACCACTACACCTCCAACATGACCAACCACTGTACACCATCATGATACAATTCTATTACACTCTATACATAGAACACTACAACCCCCAACATGGCCAACCACTGGACATGATCATAACACAGATCTTAATGCTGAACACCGGGATAAGGAAATACTGTCCTCATACAAGTTATGTGTATTCTTTCTTGTATCTTGGTGAGCTTTGTGTATTTCCTCCAGATCTGTGCAGTAATCCAGTGTGACACTTGGAGCTTCCGGTAATAAAGACCGGTCACCGCTGCTCTCTCTCCTTGTGCAGGATGACTGGTCTTGTCTCCACCCCATCCTGTAATAAAGACCGCTCACTGCTGCTCTCTCTACTTGTGCAGGGTAACTGGTCTTGTCTCCTCCCCCTCCTGTAATAAAGGCCGGTCACTGCTGCTCTCTCCCCTTGTGCAGGGTGACAGGTCTTGTCTCCTCCCCCTCTTGTAATAAAGGCCGGTCACTGCTGCTCTCTCCCCTTGTGCAGGGTGACAGGTCTTGTCTCCGCCCCCTCCTGTAATAAAGACCGGTCACTGCTGCTCTCTCTACTTGTGCAGGGTAACTGGTCTTGTCTCCACTCCTCCTGTAGTTTTCTGCAAGAAGCCTGTAATGGATGGGGCCTAATGGGCCCTTCCCACAACTCTGCTCAGGCTATGTACAGCACGGTGATAGTGTCACTGCCACTCTTACATGGGTAGCATCTAGCGTTACAAATGTGTAAAGTATATTTTGAGGAGTATAGTTGAATGAAAGGTCTTGTGCACAGCATTCAGCTTTCATTTGAATACATCTGTTACATTACACCTCATTGGTTTGGAAAGAGTCCTTTATTGTAGGAATGGTCAAGGAGAAGTATGTCAACACCGCATGAGGTAGCAATGAGAAAGTCAGTAATGGAATTTAATAGGTGACGGAATGATTTCCTAAAATTGGTATCCTCCGCAGTTCTATTTGTCAGTGGATACATGGGAACATTTTCACTGAGGCAATTAATCAAAAACATAGAAGAATGAGGCCATAAAAAGACCAAGTGGTCCATCAACTCATTTTTTGTTCTTGTTTTTTTTTTTTTTTTAACCTCTTTGAGTATAAATCTATGTTTGTCCCAAGCAGGTTTAAATTCACTTACTGTTGAATGACTTACTATCTGCTGGAAGTCTGTTCCAAGCCTATCTATTCTTTCAGTAAATTAATACTTTCTAAGGTTATTTTGAACTTTCCTCCTGCTAGCGTGAGGTCATGTCCTACAGGTCTATTCACAAAAGGGTGAAGAGTTTGGAGAAGGCAGGGGAAGTGAACAATCTAGGACAACATCGCTGAACTGGAAAGTGAGCTGAATTGAAGATTTTTTTCCAAAATCAGCTATCTTGTCCTCCATTGTTCTCTTCTCCGGCCTTCTCCAAACTCTTCACTCTTTTGTGAATAGCCCTGCTAGTGTTCTTGGTCTTAGCTTCCTATTAGAACTTTAGTTTCAGAGAACAGATAGGCTGAATGTAAGCTAATCAATTCCAGCTCTCGAAGCAAAAGAAATGAAAAGGTCAATGTGGGAACTTAGTTTTGTTGCATATCTTGGTATTCATAGGTGTTTTTTAAAAAGTACAACAACCCTTTAACAGCTCTAGATTTTCCCTGACTGAATCTTATTTTTATGAGTGCCAAAGACATGTTCAGCCCCTTATGTACGATAGTGAATGCCTGTCTTTTTGTCCGACACACTGCTAACACCATCTCCTCCATATCAGTTTAAGGTAAAGGTTCTGAAGGACATATCACATAGTGACAGCAGTTTGGGAAGAAACTTACCTTTTTCTGGTGTGATAAAAGTGTGTTTGTAGGGCTTGGGGTAGTAATTTGCATAGATAAAGAATGCAGATTTAGGACTATGGTAGTCCTGAACAGCAGCAGAAACCTCCATGGAGGACGAGGTTCAGGTCCCTAGTGTACTCTACTCAAAGACTAATCTTTGATACAGACCACCAATGGCAGCTGTGATTAGTGATGGTGCCCATTACCGATCTTCTCTGTATGGGGATCTTGGTCCTTTTAGAGTTCTCTGCAGATTTTGGACCTCCCTGAGCTATAATGTTCCTGGTCATTCCATGTAGGAGCAATGTCTGGCTCCATACTAACCTGACACTTTTTTCCTTTTTATTTTCTAACCACCACTGGAGGAATGTCTATCTGATTGGAATGGGCAATACACAATTCTTCTGTTACTATCAACCTATAGGCCATATTCTGTTTTGAGGGTTAGTTCATGTGCATCTCCTACATAGGTTCACTTGCCGGCACTCTCTATCTTCTTATACGTTCCTTCCTTTCACACCCCCGCCACTCAATTAATCTATCGGGAGGGAAAAGAAGAAACCCTGTGTTACCCATGAACCTGTCTGTAGGTGTTACAAGATCTTGGGAGATCAACAGACGTGCAGTGTGGTCATGATGGTGATGTATTGATACATAACATTTCTTTTTTGCTGCAGTGCATGGCCCTGTCCCTTGTGTATAACTACACCGGCCTCTATAAGATGGAAAAGGGACACAATTTTGCACAACAATAATAAGACACAAATCACACCTCAATCATACTATGGGACATTGGTCCCACTACTGTATTTTACACCACTGATTTTCCTTTATGTTAGTATAAGAAGATCTCATTACAGTGACGTAGAAGTTGCATGAACCTTTATTCTGTACATGAGTCCTAAAAGGGGGACGGTCGAGGAGGGAGGAGGCATCAGATTCCAAGCAAGGGACAGATGGGAAGTGTCATTGTATCTTGTATATGGTCCATGGAGAACTCTTACCAGGTTTGAGTTATAGGTGTCTGCTTCCTGGCCAGCTATAGGAAAGCCCACATGGTCCAGATTATCAACCACTTTAAAATATTTTCTGTGTGATGGTTACTGTAAAGTGTCTGCTAGAGCCAAGGTTGGTAGATATCGGTTTGTTTGGGTTGGTAGATTAAGTTACAGGGTGTCCATGTCTAGTCATGTATGTCTCCATTCTATGGACACTTCTTTTGTCCCCCATGGAGTACAGAGGTTTGGTCAGGCTTGTTACAGTCACCTTGGCTGAGTCAAATCCTGCAGATGGGTCAGGGGGAGCAATCAAAACTTTGCTATGGGTCCCCATGAACTGTAGTTAGGCCCCAGGTGCTTTCCATATGACCGAGGGACATCCTGCACCAATCTATTGCTGACCTGCCTGACCACAGTTGTTGTACAAGACCATCAGATAGCTGATCCGGCCGGGCAATGCTCATTTCTGCAGCGTCCACAGTAGTCAAGTGTTGTATCTCTTTCCCATTATGCACAGTGGTATGATGGAGAAATATGCCTTATATATAGTGTTGACCGATGATGTTTAGTATAGAATAAAATTAATTACAGACTTGTTATATGGTACCTTTATATAGACTAGAGGTCAATGTTGTGTGTATTATAGTATATATTGTACATAGCACAGGTGCAGTATGATGAAGGCTGTAGAGTAAAGCTGACCTCAGCTCTCTCATTCTCAGAGTCTCTCCGCCAGTCCAATGTGCGGTCCCGGGGGAGCAGGACTGGCCCAGAATAGAAAACCTGTAGCAAGCAGAGCTCAGACACGGCATGTCGCTTTCCCACCCCTCACCTTCCGCCTGATGTAGCAGGCCCTGTAGAATAGGACATGACTTCCTTCTCAAGTGTTTATAGTGTCAGTGTGTATTATAATACAGATGAAAGTCCGAGGCTGCATGCACTGAGACAAGTGCCAGGGATGGATTTTTCTTGTTGTAAGGCGGTATCCAGTATAATGATGCGTGTGTGTGTATGGTAACACATGGAAGAACTCCATTTTCACATTCTGCTTTGATTATAGTGACACCATTCCTTCTTCTTCCAGGTCAATGTCTCTATTAGGTCGGGGGCAGGGCGGATCCTGTCTGGGTGGCCCATGCAGTGTCTAGCAGCTGTAATCAGGGACGACGGAAACATGAGTGGAGGAGCAGAGCAAGTGGACATCCTGCCGGTCAGCTATGTGGTAAAGGATCGCTGGAAGGTGGTGAGTAGACTGGGATTAATGGAAATGTGCTGTTCTTTGGGTCATATGTACATTACTTGCCAATGAATTAACACCTCCACCATGATGGAGGTTGAGCTTCCATATGGAGGCCTCCAGCTTTAACAGCACCCAACTTTTCTTTACCAAACTTTCCACCACCAAGCCTTTTACCGTGTCCCTAACTCCACCAGTACTAAGCCTCTCTGTATCAGTATGGTGTGCCTTAGCTCTCCAATACTATTCACTATTCCCTCCAAGGCTCTAACATACCCATAAATAATTTTTTTATGCTGATATGGTGCATCCCAATACAATGAGGCCACAACCGGTATCAATACCAAGACCTTCACAATGTCATAATGAGACTCCTGCCTCTACCAGTCCCAAGACCTTTACGGTGCCATGATGAGGCCCCAAACTATACCAGTTCAGAGACCTTTATTGTACAGTGGGACCCGAAACTTCTAGGAGTACCGAAACCTTCACTGTGCCATGATGAGACCCTAACCTCTACCAATACCGAGACTTTCACTATGCTATGATAAGACCCCACAACTTTACTACAACTGAAACCTTTCACTGTGCCATGATGAGACCCCCTACAAGTATTGAAACCTTCAATGTGCCATGATGAGACCCCAATCTATACCAGTTCCAGGGCCTTCATTGTATCATGATGGGACCCAAGCCTCTACCAGCAGGGGCGTATGTGCCGCGAGGCAAACAAGGTGTTTGCCTGGAGCGGCAGATTCGCTGAGAGCGGCACCCCGAGTGTTACTCACCTGGATAGGATGACGCGGACGCCGGCCTGGAGAGTGGACGGTGTGTGCAGACGGCGGCGGTGATTTACGGTGCGTCTGTAAGCCCGGGGGAGGGGTGCTGTCGGAGAAGCGCAGGGTCAGACCGGGGGGGGTGCTCGCTATCGTCCGCGAAGCGGCGAGTCAGTTCGGGGTGCTGTCGGAGAGAAGCGCAGGGTCAGTCTGGTCCGAGGGGGGGGGGGGCGGCGTTGCTGCCTTGCCTAGGGCAGCACCAAACTTAAATACATTGCTGTCTACCAGTACTGACATGTTTTACTGTGCCATGATGAGATCCCCAGCTTCTCTACCATTACCAAAACGTTTACTTTGCCATGATGAGACTCCAACCTCTACCAATACTGAGATCCTTACTGTGCCATGATAAGACCCCAACCTCTACCAGTACGAAAACCTTCACTATGTCATAGTGAGACTGCAATTTCTTATCAGTACCAAACCTTTCACTGTGCCATGATGAAACCCCAACCTCTACCAATGCCAACACTTTTACTTTGCCATGTGTAGACTCCAATCACTTCTAATGCTAATACCTTCACTATGTCATGATGAGATCCCAACTGCTACCTTTACCAGGACCATTTATTGTACCATGATGAAGCCCCAAACTCTACCAGTGCTAAAGCTTTTATTGTGCCATGTTTAGACTTCAACATCTACCAGCACTATGACCTTTGTCATGATAAGCTCCCAACCACTACCAGTACCAAACATTTCATAGTGCTATGATAATAGCCCAACCAATACCAGTATCAAGACCTTCACTGTGCCATGGTAAACCCCAACCTCTACTAGTACCAAGATCCTTCACTGTGCCATATTTAGACTCAGATCCTTACCAATACTAATACCTTTACTGTGTCGTGATGAGACCTCAGCCTCTATCAGTATTGAGACATTTACTGTGCAGTGGTGTGCTCCCGTATCTACCTGTACCCTGTCATTCGCTGCCCCATGGTTTGTCCACAGCTATGCCAATACCACGCTCTTCACTCTGTCATGGCGTGCCTCCAAATCTACCAGCACCAAGCCTCTCTGTATGCTGTTGGATGAGATCTGCTTATGCTGAATGCCATTAATTAAATGGATTCCATTAGAATCTACCATTACACTGTGTCGTTTTGTGTCCTCAAATCTTACAGTACTGAGTCTTTCACTGTGTCATGGTGTATCCCTGTAGGTATCAGTACTGTGCCATGGCGTTCCTCAAAACCCTTCAAAATGCCACTGTAGTTCTTTCAAAATGCCATTATGTAGCCGAAAACAAAATACTGGTACCAAACCTTTAATTCCATGTTGTAACCTTAACACCACAAGCAGTGGAACTCTTGTTATGTTATTTTGTTGTGTTTCCTCCACTGTCCCTGCTCCATAGTGTACCCCACAATTGCCATTACCCAGACTTTTATTATGCCATAGGGGGCCTCAAACGTAGCCAGTTGTAGGGATTTCACAGTTCTGCGGTGTGCCCCTAACCGTGTCAGTACTGAGACTTTCACTATGCATAGTGTGCCATCAACTGTACCAGTACTAAGACTTTCATTATGCCGTGATGTGCCCCTCAGATCTGCCAGTACACAGCTTTTTCCTGCACCATAATGTACCCACGGTTCTGCCAGTTCCCAGCTTTCCTATATGCTATCATATGCCCTCAGTTCTACCAGTACCCAGTTTTTCCCTGTGCCATAATGTACGCTCAGTTCTGCCAGTGCTCAGCCTTTCACCATGCCATCATTTACCCTCATTCCTGCTAGCACCTAGCTTTTCTTTGTGCCATAATGTACCCTGAGTTCTGCCCAGCCTTTACCTGTGCCATGGTGTATCCTCATTTCTACCAGTGCCCAGCCTTTCACTCTGCCATGGTGTACCATCAGTTCTACCAATATCCAACCTCTTCCTATGCCATAATGTACCCTAATTTCTACCAGTACCCAACCTTTCCCTGTGCCATGGTGTACCCTCAGTTCTACGAGTAACCAGCCTTTCCCTGTACCATGGTGTACCCTCATTTCTAACAGTACCCAGCATTTCTTTGTGCCATGATTTACCCTCAGTTCCACCAGTACCCAGCCTTTCACTGTGCCATGGTGTACCCTCAGTTCTACCAGTACCCAACCTTTCCCTGTGCCATGGTGTACCCCAATAAGCTGATTGATGTGTATCTTACATGACCATGATGTTTATTAACGGGTGATTCAGTGTTACCTTTATGTGTGGTGAGTGGTAAGTCAATGAATGTACAGACAGTAATTGGGACTTTTGTGTTTCCTACAGCTAAAGAAAATTGGTGGTGGTGGATTTGGGGAGATCTACGAGGCAATGGACTTACTGACTCGGGAAAATGTCGCTCTAAAAGTAGAATCAGCGCAACAACCAAAACAAGTTCTGAAGATGGAGGTGGCCGTGCTAAAGAAGCTGCAAGGTCAGTTAGAGATGATTTCTTCTCTACTCTGCTGCTCTGGATTGTCATTGTCTGCTTCACACATCATAGAACATGTGATTGATCTGGAATAGGTGTGCGGCCAGGATGTCAAAAGTCTTCATCTGCTCGCTTATTCCGGAACAGTGACTCAGAATACTGAAGCCAGGGAGCCACCATGGTGGCCAGACAATGGGCACATTACCTGCATATTTGTCCCCCTACAAGGATCCTTTAAGGTAAACCCGAGAGAGAGATTTAGGGATTGCCATTGCTGGCCTTCAGAAAATACTATCTTCCTGGCCATTTGGCTAACCATATGGCTTTGAGTCTCTGATCCAGAACAAATATGCAGATAATTTGAGAATCAAAGTGTTGAAGCCAGGGGATCTGCATGACAGTCATGCCGGTGCCTCACTGTCTGGGTGTTTGTGTCTCTGCAGGGAAGGACCATGTCTGCAGGTTCATCGGCTGTGGAAGAAATGAGAAGTTTAACTATGTGGTGATGCAGCTACAGGTAGTCCGGGGTGTCGGGTACACGTACTGAATGTACACACTATATTGGCAGCTACAGGCAGTCCGAGGTGTCGGGTACACATACAGAATGTACACACTATATTGGCAGCTACAGGTAGTCCGGGGTGTCGGGTGCACATACTGAATGTACACACTATATTGGCAGCTACAGGTAGTCCGGGGTGTCGGGTGCACATACTGAATGTACACACTATATTGGCAGCTACAGGTAGTCCGGGGTGTCGGGCACACATACTGAATGTACACACTATATTGGCAGCTACAGGTAGTCCGGGGTGTCGGGTGCACATACTGAATGTACACACTATATTGGCAGCTACAGGTAGTCCGGGGTGTCGGGTGCACATACTGAATGTACACACTATATTGGCAGCTACAGGTAGTCCGGGGTGTCGGGTGCACATACTGAATGTACACACTATATTGGCAGCTACAGGTAGTCCGGGGTGTCAGGTACATGTACTGAATGTACACACAATGAGTGGTGCATTCAGGACATGAGCATGTGTCATATGCCCTGGGCGCCACTTGAAGGGGGGGTTCTGCTGTCTTTTCTTTTCACTCTGGCAGGTGTCCCACCAAGCTCCTGACAACCAGTGACAACACTGGTTGGGTTGTCAGGAGCTGGTCAGAACACCATAGGCACATTTTATAGTAGACACTGCATAATATAATGGCAGCTACAGGTAGTCTGGGGTGTCAGCTGCACATACTGAATGTACACACTATAATGGCAGCTGCAGGTAGTCTGGGGTGTCAGCTGCACATACTGAATGTACACACTATAATGGCAGCTGCAGGTAGTCTGGGGTGTCAGCTGCACATACAGAATGTACACACTATAATGGCAGCTGCAGGTAGTCTGGGGTGTTGGATACAAGTACTAATTGTACACAATGATGGCAGATAGAGGTGGTGTCGGGTGCCCAGGGGGCGTGGCGGGTACCCATGCTGAATCTGTAAAAATCACAGGCGCCAAAAACAGTAACTGCTCCTGAAAATGGTCTCCAAAAAAACACACAGGGGGCAGCTCCTCACAGCCAGGGGGCAGCTCCTCACAGCCAGGGGGCAGCTCCTCACAGCCAGGGGGCAGCTCCTCACAGTCAGGGGGCAGCTCCTCACAGTCAGGGGGCAGCTCCTCACAGTCAGGGGGCAGCTCCTCACAGTCAGGGGGCAGCTCCTCACAGTCAGGGGGCAGCTCCTCACAGTCAGGGGGCAGCTCCTCACAGTCAGGGGGCAGCTCCTCACAGTCAGGGGAAACCGGAAATCTGATGAAAACAAAGCAAAAGGAGCGGCATTCATTGTGATGTTTTCCTGAGAGTATATCGCTTCGTGCTCGTTTATACAGGCTGGTTTGTCAGTAACTTTTCAGCTGTCTTTTTTTTATCTACAATAAATTAATTTTACACTGTGGAGGCGCTCCTTTTGCTTTGTTTTCACCCATGCTGAATGTACACACTATAAGGACAGCTACAGCAGTCCAGATGTTGGGTACACGTATTAAATGTACACAATGATGGGAGATAGAAGTAGTCCAAGGTGTTGGGTACAGGTACTGAATGTACATAATGATGGCAGATAGAGGTAGTTTGGGATGTTGTGTACACATACTGAACATACACACTATAATGGCAGCTACAGCTAGTCCGGATGTCCAGTACAAGTACTTAATGTACACAATGATGGCAGATAGAGGGGATCCGGGTGGCGGGTACCCATACTGAATGTACACACTACAATGGCAGCTACAGGCAGTCCGGATGTTGGGTACACGTATTAAATGTACACAATGATGGCAGATAGAGGTAGTCCAAGGTGTTGGGTACAGGTACTGAATGTACATAATGATGGCAGATAGAGGTAGTTTGGGGTGTTGTGTACATGTACTGAATGTGCACACTACAATGACAGCTGCAGGTAGTCTGGATGTCCAGTACAAGTACTGAAGGTGCACAGTATAAGCCACATGTGTCAAACTCAAGGCCCAGGGGCCGAATCCAGCCCACCAGGCCATTTCCTAGACTTCTACTTTCAGATCTAGGTATTAGGTTATTACTACAACCAGTGATAATGGAATGCAGAGGCAATTATAATAAAGATTAGATACATTTATATAGTCTTACAGGCCCTTTGAGGGCAACCATAATGTTGATGCGGCCCACGATTTAAATTGAGTTTGACACCCCTGGTATAAGCTATAGAGCAGATTTGGGGATATTTTGCTGGATGGGGTGTGAAGGCATTTCTGCCTCTTACGGCCCACTATATCACCGACTTGCGGCCACATTCCAGCTGATCAGGATTTGCTGTGTGCACCTTTTCCTCAGTGCCCACACACAGCAGATTGGTGCTGCCATAATATTGTTACCAGCAAGATGGGAGCCCTGTGTCACCTATGGGATGGAAGGAGTTGGGCCTCCACTGTAATGCAGAGCTGTTGATGGGGTATAATATTGATCATACAACCCCTGGGGGTGGAGAAGTACACTGGAGGGGGAGAACATTGGCTGGAGGGTCATGTGATGTCACAGAACACGGAACACCGTGCAAGCCAGGCGCTGAGCTCCATCCTCATCAACGTCCTCTCCTTACAGGGTCGGAATCTGGCAGACCTGCGCAGAAGTCAACCTCGCGGCACTTTCACCATGAGCACCACGCTGCGTCTCGGCAAGCAGATCCTGGAGTCGATAGATTCCATCCATTCTGTGGGCTTCCTGCACCGCGACATCAAACCGGTGAGAGCAGCTGGGTGGAAGTAGCGCTGCAAGATTACGGCAGATTACGTTTTCTGTGCTCCCTTCCAGCCGGTTATTTCGGTGTTCACTTTAACCGAGGGAATTCAAACTAAGCATGTGGTGGAGACCCCCCAAAACAGACGTCACCTTCAGTGAAACCCGCCGGTCAGAAAAACGAGAGGAGCTGAAGGTGTATGCAAATGTTGACCTTTACAGAAAGTCATGTGAGGTCCCGCCTCTCCAACCTCATTTACCTCCCCATTGGCCAGTGAGGCTGCACATTACATTAAAGCCGGTCTCCGGGAAAATATCCCAACCCATCTTTCAGGTTTTTTTCCTTACCTTGCCGTCTGGGCACCTCGCCTGCTCTCTGGTGCAAGGGATTGCTAATCTAGGGCTGCAAATGTGCCCGCACTGGCCAGTCCATGTCAGTCTCCTCGCAGCAATGTCACTCCTTGTCTGGATCCTGAGAGGACCCCACCGCTGGACAGCCAATAGGAAGTGTCCATATCTTGCAGGCAGGGACATGGACACCCAAACGAGGACCCCACCTCCTGTAAACAGAACAGGAGAGAAGACTCGGGACTACTGGAGCTTCACATGGCGGCAGATTTAGGTGAGTAAAAAGGGCATTTAGATTTAGTTAAGCATTTCTAATGCCGGAGATCGGTCAGAGGAGGGGGGAGGTTGGTGGAAGATATAAGTAGAGTCAGGAGATCAGCTTTAATGGACCAATCAGAATGGTTTGTAAGTGACAGGAGTGGGGCCAGTAAAAATGTAAATTTCCATCTAAATATAGCTGAGGATGGATATTGCTAAGTATCAGTGCCGATGCCGAGTATTTGGGGGAGTTCTCGTACTCGGCCAAATGCTCCAATGCCTAGCCCGAAACTTCCAGTATCAGGAAGCCGGGTAGTGTGTCATTACAGGCTGCCCAGCTTCCTGATTGGCCGGGAAGCAGGCTCCATGGCCAATAAAAAAAAACAGGGGAAAAACGGGGAGCGTGTAATGACACGCTGCTTGGCTTCCTGATTGGCCGGGAAGCAGGCTCCATGGCCAATCAGGAAAACGGGGAGGGTGTAATGACGCGCTGCCCGGCTTCCTGATTGGTCGGGAAGCTGGCCAATCAGTAAGCCGGGCACCATGTAATGACGCGGTGCCCGGTTTTTTGATTGGCCGGAAAGCCGGCTTCATGCTCCCACGTCACCTCATGACGAAGGAGCATGGAGCCAGCTTCCTGGCCAACAGGAAGCCAGACTTTGCGTCTTTACACGGCACCCGGCTTCCTGATTGGCCAGAAAGCTGGCTCCATGCTTTCTCGTCACCTAGTGACGAGGAACATGGAGATGTCTTCCCTGCTAATCGGGAAGCCGGGTGGCGAGTCATTACACGCCACCTGGCTTCCTGAATGGGACTTACGGTACTCGGTATTGGCAAGTACCGAAAAAAAAAATATCGGTACTCGATACTGAAATACCGGTATCGGTGCATCCCTAGTTATTGCAATCTGCAGTTGTATTTTCTAACCACATGCTCAGTTTGAATTGCCAGGTCATCTGACCATATACTTATATCAGTAATGCCACCTTCATGGTTATTTTTTGTATTAAAGCTGAACTCCGGGCACAAAAACTGTCATTTAAATATGTTCCCCAATAACTACAAGAGAGACTATAAATACACTTTTTTGGCACCAAATGCCTTAGTAAATGTAGATATTACCTTGTAAACTGAGTGATGACATCATCCCTGTGCTGTAGATAGCTAGTGCATAGAGCAGAGCTCTGGGGGACCCAGCAGGGCCCACCCACTACTGGAAACTACAGGAAGGGTGGAGACAAGACCAGTCACCCTGCACAAGGAGAGAGATCAGCAGTGAGCGGTCTTTATTACAGGAATGGGTGGAGACAAGACCAGTCACCCTGCACAAGGAGAGAGATCAGCAGTGACCGGTCTTTATTACAGGAGGGGGTGGAGACAAGACCAGTCACCCTGCACAAGGAGAGAGATCAGCAGTGACTGGTCTTTATTACAGGAGGGGGCAGAGACAAGACCAGTCACCCTGCACAAGGAGAGAGATCAGCAGTGAGCGGTCTTTATTACAGGAATGGGTGGAGACAAGACCAGTCACCCTGCACACGGAGAGAGATCAGCAGGGACCGGTTTTTATTACAGGAGGGGGTGGAGACAAGACCAGTCACCCAGCACAAGGAGAGAGATCAGCAGTGACTGGTCTTTATTACAGGAGGGGGCAGAGACAAGACCAGTCACCCTGCACAAGGAGAGAGAGAGCAGCAGTGACTGGTCTTTATTACAGGAGGGGGCGGAGACAAGACCAGTCACCCTGCACAAGGAGAGAGAGAGCAGCAGTGAGCGTTCTTTATTACAGGAGGAGGCGGAGACAAGACCAGTCACCCTGCACAAGGAGAGAGAGAGCAGTGACCGGTCTTTATTACAGGAAGGTCCAAGTCTCACACTGAATTACTGCCCAGATCTGGTAGAAATACACAAAGCTCACCAAGATTCAAGAAGAATACACACGACTCTTGTATGAGGAGAATATCTGCTGATCCCGGAGTTCAGCTTTAATGCAGAGAATCTCTCTCCATCCCTACAGGGAATATATAGCAGTCTGTACATGCTTTCTGTCTGTGTGTTTTATGTTCAGGGCTAAAAATATCACATTTTTACATCTATTTCAGCTAATTTTGAATGATCTGATCTGAATATTTTGTAATCTTCTATTCAGCCAGCAGGCAGAGTTTTTTTTCTATATATTATGCACTTTAGTTTTTAGCGCTGCACAATTTACACACTTTATAGAGGTTTTTTTTAGCTCTTTGTTGATATGTTGTACACTCTCTGTAGTCTCCCAGTCATGAAAAGCCCATTGATGACCTCTGACGCTAAAATGTATTTCCTCCGAGGTTTCTGCTAGGTAAAGCCAGCCTCAGAGTAGCTAACACACAGTGCTCTGCAGATCCCTTGTCATGAATTATATATTTCAAATACAAAGATTGTGTGTGTATGTACTGATCAGCCATAACCCACCCGTCTAATATTGAGTAGGTCCCCCTTTTCCTGACCCGTCCAGGCATGGACTCCAGTAGACCTCTGAAGCTATGATGTGTTATCTGGCACCAAGACGTCAGTAGCAGATCCTTTTAGTCCTGTAAGTTGTGAGGTGATGGGCCTCCATGGATCGGACTTGTTTTTCCAGCACATCCCACAGATGATCGATTAGATTAAGATCTGGAGAATTTGGAGGCCAAATCAACACCTCAAACTCATTGTTGTGTTCCTCAAACCATTCTTGAACCATTGTGCAGTGTGGCAGGGCGCATTATCCTGCTGAAAGAGGTCACTGCCATCAGGGAATACCGTTTCCATGAAGGGGTGTACTTGGTCAGTAACAATGTTTAGGTCGGTGGTATGTGTCAATGTAATAGCCACATGAATGGCAGGACACGAGGTTTCCCAGCAGACCATTGTCCAAAGCATCACACTGCCTCCGCCGGCTTGTCTTCTCCCCATAGTACATCCTGGGGCCATCTCTTCCCCAGGTAAGTGACACACACGCACCCGGCCATCCACATGATGTACATCAGACCAGGCCACCTTCTTCCATTGCTCCTTGGTCCATGTGATGTTCACATGCCCATTGTAGGTGCTTTTGGTGGTGGACACGGGTCAGCATGGGCACCCTGACCGGTCTGTGGCTACACAGCCCCATACACAACAACTTGCGATGCTCTGTGTGTTCACCTTTTTATCGGAACCAGCATTCACTTTTTCAGCTGTGTGAGCTACAGTATTTCTACTATTTCTACTATTCAATCAGACTACACGGGCCAGACTTCCCTCCACATCCATCAATGAGCCTTGGCCGCCCATGACCCTGTCTCCGGTTCACTGGTTTTCCTTCCTTGGACCTCTTTTGGTTGGTCCTGACCACTGCAAACCGGGAACATCCCACAAGAGTTGCAGTTTTGGAGTTGCTCTGACCCAGTCTTCTAGCCGTCACAATTTGGCGCTTTATCAAAGTCACTCAAATCCTCATCCGTGTCCATTATTTCTGCTTCCAACACATCAACTTCAGGGACAAAATGTTCACTTCCTGCTGAATATATCCCCCCCACCTCCAGGGTCATTGTAATATATCCCCCCCACCTCCAGGTGTCATTGTAATATAACCCCCCCACTTCCAGGTGTCATTGTAATATAACCCCCCCACTTCCAGGTGTCATTGTAATATAACCCCCCCACTTTCAGGTGCCATTGCAATCAGATAATCAATGTTATTCACTTCACCTCTCAGTGGCCATAATGTTTTGGCTGATCAGTGTGTTTAAATACGTATAATTCAAGTAAATGGAAAGCATAATACACATCTCGGAGGCTCTGCATGCAATTTATGTAATACCTTTTTATCATTCTTTATTTGCGGACATGTGACGACAAATCTCTGAACCGTGCCCCTATTTATGGAGGTGATGGGCGCTCTTTTCAGGAGAGCTGACGTAAAAGCAAGAAGTGACCTACAACCCGCTAGAACTACACTATGACAGTGCACGCTGGAGACCCGGAGCTTCCTCCTGCATGATAACACTTGTGTGGCGGAGGAACCATACACAATGTTGGGTCATTATGAATGACACTCCAAAGACATGCTGGAAGGCTGATTGGCTTCTGTCTAAATTGGCCCTCGTATGGGAGATAGGGATGTAGATTGTAAGCCCCTTGAGGGCAGGGACGGGTGTGACTGCACGGTATAGTATTTCCATCAGGACGCATATGTCAGTTCTCACACTCTCCTGCTCTTTCTACAGTCTAACTTTGCCATGGGGCGCCTTCCGTCCACCTACAGGAAGTGTTACATGTTGGACTTTGGCCTGGCGCGGCAGTACACCAACACCACTGGGGAAGTGCGGCCGGTGAGTGATGCAAGGGGGGGGCGGGTATGTCTGCAGCTTACTCCCGTGTCATGTGACCCTGTCATGTGAGCTGCTTTGCTGGACGTCATACGTGTGGGTGATCTTCTCCTCCCAGGTCATTTTGCTGATCATTTTAAGTTGATGAATTTTGTTTCCATCATTTTGTTTCTTTTTGTTTTTCAGTTTATTTTTCAAGCCATTGTGCGGCCGTTTAATTTTGGCGACTGGGATGCGCAGTGTGAGTCTCCGTCCTCCACGCTTTTATTTTGTTTCTTATGTTCCTTTCAAATGATTTTGTGTTGATGGTGAAACGTACCCAGTGACATTGGGAACTCGCCCCAGTGACATCGGGAACCCGCCCCAGTGACATCGGGGACTCGCCCCAGTGACATCGGGAACTGGACATTCATAGTACAATGGTGATGGACCAAGCTGTCCAGCAGTGACAGGTTGGGACAAACTAAAACACTAAGGGGAGGCTGACACTGGAGTCTTCTGTTCACCCAGGTCAAATCTTTCTTTAATCACATGTTGCTGCAACCGCTCGATGAGGATGACAATGATAGGACAGCAATGACTCCCACGTGTCAAATACAAAGTGCAGTAAACTTTAGTTGGGCCTTTTGATCATGTTCAGTAGGTCAAAGATTACATGGTTGTTGTCTCCAGTGTAGCTGCATCACATTAATTTTGACAAGCCAGGACCCTACTTTCACGTGGCAGGACCCTACTTTCACGTGGCAGGACCCTACTTTCACAAGGTAGGACCCTACTTTCACAAGGTAGGACCCTACTTTCACAAGGCAGGACCCTACTTTCACGTGGCAGGACCCTACTTTCACAAGGCAGGACCCTACTTTCACAAGGCAGGACCCTACTTTCACGTGGCAGGACCCTACTTTCACATGGCTGGACCCTACTTTCACATCAGATAACAACAGCCAGTAATAATTCATACTTACTGCATCCCGCTGGATGTTTGTATAGATGCTAACCAGTGCAAGCAATCTTAGAACATCAGATTGTTCTTAACATGTCCTTTGACCTTCCTTCCTGTCCCGACACCAAATCCTCTGTCCTCCCTATCTTCTCTCCGTACCACATCTCCTGTCCTGCCTTACTTCTCTCTGTACTGTGCCCCCTGTCCTTTCCTTTTTCCTGTATCACTTCTACTATCCTCCCTTCCTTCTCTCTATACCGTGACTTCTGTCCTTCCTCCCTCCTCTTTGTACCGTGCCTCCTGTCCTCCTCTCCCTGTACCGCATCTCCTCTCCCTTCTTTCTCCCTGTACCACATCTCCTGTCCCTTCTTTCTCCCTGTACCACATCTCCTGTCCCTTCTTTCTTCCTGTACCACATCTCCTGTCCCTTCTTTCTTCCTGTACCACGTCTCCTGTCCCTTCTTTCTTCCTGTACCACGTCTCCTGTCCCTTCTTTCTCTCTGTACCACATTCCCTGTCTTACATCTCCAGTATTATTATTCTGCTGCAATACATTATTAATCTGCCCCCAAGGCCTGACACACCCAGTCATATTTTTTCATTGCAAGCTACATTTCCATCCTTATTTAGATGTTGTGCCATTATTATTAACAATTTCTCGTGTTTCTTATTGTTTGGGAGAATGGTTGCAATACTCACATTATCGCACATTTTGAAGTTACATTTATATCATTTATATAAATTTGTTAAAACGCTAGAAATAAGTCCAGTGAAAGCAGAGACTATAGAGAGCCTCGCTCACACCAAACACAGCCAGACTACCAAATGGGACATGTACTAATAATGACATTGGAGATGACTGGACTTGTAGGAGGACTGACCAATTGTGTCCTCACATTGTACTAATAATGACATTGCAGGTTACTATAGGTGTAGGACCATTGACCAATCACGTTCTCACATTGTACTAATAATGACATTGGAGATTTCTATAGGTGTAGGACCATTGCCCAATCACATTCTCACATTGTACTAATAATGACATTGGAGATTACTATAGGTGTAGGACCATTGCCCAATCACGTTCTCACATTGTACTAATAATGACATTGCAGGTTAATATACATAGTTACATAGTTAGTCAGGTTGAAAAAAGACACAAGTCCATCGAGTCCAACCTATAGAGATACAAAGGGAAAAAAAAGATTATAGGTGTAGGACCATTGCCCAATTACATTCTCACATTGTAATTGTAATAATGGTGTGCAAAAATTGCTTCTGTGCAGTCATACATCATGACAAAGTAAAATCCTGGAACAGTGGGCTGGGTTCTTCTACTCCACATTGGGGCATTATAATCAATTATTTTATTTCCTATCATTCATTTGATTTTATTTATACCCCCCCCTCCCCCCCATTCCATTATATCTTCATTATAAGTGGTTAGGATTTCTTCTCATTTGTACTGAGGGCTGGGGTCTTCTCATTAGTCACACTGGAATGATCCATCAGGTCGGGTGGGCAGCGGGCTTCTACCCTGTTTCCCCGAAAATAAGACCTACCCTGAAAATAAGACCTAGTACTATTTTGGGGAATTGCTAAAATATAAGACCTACCCCGAAAATAAGACCTAGTACTATTTTGGGGAATTGCTAAAATATAAGACCTACCCCGAAAATAAGACCTAGTACTATTTTGGGGAATTGCTAAAATATAAGACCTACCCCGAAAATAAGACCTAGTACTATTTTGGGGAATTGCTAAAATATAAGACCTACCCCGAAAATAAGACCTAGTACTATTTTGGGGAATTGCTAAAATATAAGACCTACCCCGAAAATAAGACCTAGTACTATTTTGGGGAATTGCTAAAATATAAGACCTACCCCGAAAATAAGACCTAGTACTATTTTGGGGAATTGCTAAAATATAAGACCTACCCCGAAAATAAGACCTAGTACTATTTTGGGGAATTGCTAAAATATAAGACCTACCCCGAAAATAAGACCTAGTACTATTTTGGGGAATTGCTAAAATATAAGACCTACCCCGAAAATAAGACCTAGTGTGTTTTTTTGAGCCAAAAAAATATAAGACAGTGTCTTATTTTCGGGGAAACACGGTAAGATACTAAAGGATGATCGGAAGATAAACAATGGGGCTGAACTTATTAGAGAATGAATGAAATCCTCCCAAATATCCCCATTAGATGAATGCAGAATAAGAGCTGTTAGCTGAATGGGAAGAATATGAGCCCGTATAGACTTCTGTCCTCTTCCTCTCTGACAGCCCCGCAATGTCGCCGGATTTAGAGGGACAGTCCGCTATGCATCCGTCAATGCGCACAAGAACAGGGTAAGTCACAGCAAGAACTTAGATGTGGTCCATCCAAGCAGAAGAACGTATGACCCCCCCTCCTAGTCTTCTGCTGGGGCTCATGATATTGTTTTGTCTCCTTCCATCATCTGCTGTGTTTCTGTCTTCCCCCACAAGTGTCTCACTATGTCGATATTTCTCCCAACAACGCAGGAGATGGGCAGACATGATGACTTGTGGTCCTTGTTTTATATGTTAGTGGAATTTGCAGTTGGTCAGCTGCCATGGAGAAAGATCAAAGACAAGGTAGGAGCTGAGCCATGCGTTTGTGTCAGGAGGCCTGTGGATTGTGATTGGGATCCACAGTACGACTGCTTGCTCTTTCTGCTCCCCAGGAACAAGTTGGGATGATTAAGGAGAAATATGACCATCGAATGCTGCTGAAACACATGCCTTCCGAGTTCCACCTTTTCCTGGAGCACATATCTTCTCTGGACTACTTCACCAAGCCTGATTATCAGGTATTTGCATCATGGTCCCGTCCTGTCCCCCCACAGGGTATTGTATTGCTAAACAGTGGTCTACTGAGGATGCTGACTTATGGGAAAATACATCCTTGAGGGCTCAAGGGGACTGGAAAAGGTCTCTGTGGAGATATGAAGGGCATAGGATAAACTGCACATGACAGCCCAAGGAGGCAAGGTAAACTGGGTATGACAGCCCAGTGGCTATAATGTAGTGGCTCAATTCTTTTTATCTCCTGGCACTGGCGGAACTACCAGGTAGTTGAGCAACAGAGGAACACTAATAAAGCCAAGATGGACATGTCTCTGTGTTTAGATAGGTCGGGGTACAGGGGAAAGCAAGGAGAGGACAAGAAGCAGTTTACAGGGGTTGCTACATAGGAGAAGCACAGATGGATAGTCAGCAGTCTATAGGGGGTGATGTACAGGAGCACACTGACAAAACAGGCTGTTATGGGTGTATAGGGAGTATAACAAAGGAGGACAGAAGTGCACAGACAGATAAGCAAGATGGACTTTTAGCAATGTACGGGGGGGTGATACATTGGAGGACAGGAGAGAGGTACAGACAGACTGGTAGCAGTGTACATGGGGTGATACATTGGAGGACAGGAGAGAGGTACAGACATACCGGCAGCGGTGTACAATGGGTGATACATTGGAGGACAGGAGAGAGGTACAGACAGACTGGCAGTGGTGTACAATGGGTGATACATTGGAGGACAGGAGAGAGGTACAGACATACCGGCAGTGGTGTACAAGGGGTTATACATTGGAGGACAGGAGAGAGGTACAGACAGAATGGTAGCGGTGTACAATGGGTGATGCATTGGAGGACAGGAGAGAGGTACAGACAGACTGGTAGTGGTGTACAATGGGTGATACATTGGAGGACAGGAGAGAGGTACAGACAGACTGGTAGTGGTGTACAATGGGTGATGCATTGGAGGACAGGAGAGAGGTAAGACAGACTGGTAATGGTGTACAAGGGGTGATACATTGGAGGACAGGAGAGAGGTACAGACATTCTGGTAGTGGTGTACATGGGGTGATACATTGTAGGACAGGAGAGAGGTAAGACAGACTGGTAATGGTGTACAAGGGGTGATACATTGGAGGACAGGAGAGAGGTACAGACAGACTGGTAGCAGTGTACATGGGGTGATACATTGAAGGACAGGAGAGAGGTGCAGACATACTGGCAATGGTGTACAAGGGGTTATACATTGTAGGACAGGAGAGAGGTACAGACGGACTAGTAGCAGTGTATAGGAGGTGATACATCCGAGTACATGAAAGAGGAGCAGATGGTCTGTTAGTGGTGTACATGGGGTGATTCATTGGAGGACAGTTGAGAGGTGCAGACATACCGGCAGCGGTGTACAATGGGTGATACATTGGAGGACAGGAGAGAGGTACAGACAGACTGGTAGTGGTGTACATGCCATATTTATATCTTTACACATGTTGTACATGCTTCTTACATGTATGTACACAGAACAGCATTTCTGGTGAGGGATTTTCTGTCATGCGAGTTATTCCCGGTGTGTAATAAAACCCTTTTTCACCTTTGCAGATGATTATGACCGTGTTTGAGAACAGTATGAAGGAGCGAGGAATTACAGAGAATGAGGCCTTTGACTGGGAGAAGGGTGGAACAGACATCTTACTTTCCACCAGCACCTCCACCCCACCGCAGCAGAACACCCGGCAGACAGCTGCCATGTTTGGGTGAGTTTGCCTCTTTCTTTGAGCGTGTGTCAACCTAACTGGTCAAATGTCACATAAAACCTTCAATGCAGTACAACAAAAGCGGAATTGCACAAGTGGAGAGTCCTTGTACTTTGGCAGAATCCTCAGTAATTGCTGATATGTAACGTGCTATCTTTGTAATTATTCAGACATAGTCACCTTATCGGACTTCTTGTTTCCTCTGCCTGCAGGGTGGTGAATGTGACTCCAGTGCCGGGGGACTTATTGAGGGAAAACACTGAAGATGTCCTACAAGGAGAGCACCTTAGTGACCAAGAGAACGCCCCTCCCATCCTTCCTGGCCGGCCGCTAGATATCACCGGACAGATCCCCAACACCGGCTTCAATGATACCGAGGTCTGGGAGGAGACCGACGTGAATCGGAATAAGCTAAGAATCAGTATCAGTAAGGTATGGGGACAGGAACGGGCAGGTTGAGATGACAGTGCTTTTCTAGGTCCCACCTTCATCAATTTTAATGGCTGCTCTGCCCTTCTTCTCTGCCTCATGAACGCTGTTAATGAAAAAGTACATAATCCTAATTTGATATAATTCTTCAGAGCCAATCAAAAGTCTCTAATGTATAGTTGCTACTAATAGGAAGAGCTCCTGCCAGGACTTATCCTATGAAAGATGACCCTTGTGTGATCTCACATGATCATTTAGAGGCAATGTAGAGAAAGCTGGCAATGTAATAATCTCATGTGATCCTTTACCCCATTACAGTGACCGCTGACCATCCTGTGATGATCATTCAGAGGCATCGTAATAATTGTTGGCCATTAGATGATGTCATGTGATCACTCAGAGGCAATTGAATGAGAGCTTGGTATCAGATAAAGTCATGTGATCCCAGTCCATGTGGTGGTATCATGACATTAGTCACAGGGAACAGAAGACAATGTATTATTTAATGAGCCTATAATGATGGAGTAGTAATGCGTGTGCGGTCTCTTCCCTCCACAGACACAGTGCCTGATGGATGACGATCACAGCCGCCATGGATGTCCCAGCTCCCCTGTCCGGGCTCCTCCCGAGTCCCCCACTACACAGGCGCGCTCTCTCCATTACCGGCGAGTCAACAGTCCTGAGTCTGACCGGCTATCCACAGCGGATAGAGGTGACCTTCCGGAGAGGAGGTGAGAGCCCACACTAAGATATAGGGGTCTGAATTTGTAGATGGAGTGGGGGTAACCGTTCTTTGGCTTCTTTAGAGATTTCTTACAGCTGTTATCTTAGTGTTTCATCAGACCAGATCCCAACCTGACTACATTCCCTGGATTCTCAGTTCTTCTAACCCTCAGTCAACAGGCGGCTCCCTGCCAGTGTCCCTCCTTCACAACCAGCCCCCACCTGACCACATTCCCCAGATTATCAATACTGCTTTCCGTCAACCAACAGGCGGCTCCCTGCCGGTGTCCCTCCTTGCCAACCAGCCCCCACCTGACCACATTCCCCGGATTATCAATACTCCTTTCCGTCAACCAACAGGCGGCTCCCTGCCGGTGTCCGCCCTTGCCAACCAGCCCCCACCTGACCACATTCCCCGGTATATCAATACTCCTTTCCGTCAATCAACAGGCGGCTCCCTGCTGGTGTCCCTTCTTGCAAACCAGCCTCCACCTGACCACATTCCCCGGATTATCAATACTCCTTTCCGTCAATCAACAGGCAGCTCCCTGCCGGTGTCCCTTCTTGCCAACCAGCCTCCACCTGACCACATTCACCGGATTATCAATACTCCTTACCCTCAGTGAACAGGCAGCTCCCTGCCTTTGTCCCTTCTTGCCTACCAGCCAACACCTGACACATTCCCCGTATTATCAATACTTCTTACCCTTAATCAACAGGCAGGCTCCTTGTCGCTGTCCCTTCCTGCCAACCAGCCCCCACCTGACCACATTCCCCAGATTATCAGTTCTTCTTACCCTTAGTCACCACGCTCCTCCCTTCCGGTGCCCCACCTAACCAACTAGCCCCCATTGGACCACACTCCCCAGACTCTTGGTACGTCTTCTTAAGCTGACCATACGCTGCTCAAATTTTAACAAACTTTGCCAAAATTTGAGCGGTGTGCGACCCTGTCGGAACTCCTCTGTTCGTCAAAAGATTTTTTGATCGACTTTTGTCAAAGGAGCTGGGCCAAACATTGTCAGCCAGCCAGTGACTGCAGGCAATCGGATGAAGTCACTGGTTGTTTATTGTGACAGTGGCTGGGGCCGGCTGTCAGAATACAATAGCTGGCAGGGGATATTCCCCCATTCACGCTGTTTAGCTTGGCTGAACTAAAACAAAGCTGAGTGTATGGGCAGCTTTACCCTCAGTCACCACTCTGCTTCCTGCTGTTGTACCCCCCACCGCCATCCCCCCAACCCCCCCACAAACCAGCGCCAACCTGACAACATTCCCAGCTTCTCAGTACTTCTTCCTACCCTCAGTCACCTGTTGGCTTTCTGCCGGTGTCCCCTCTCACCAACCATCCCTGACCTGCCCCTACAGAGGGGATATAGAAAGGGTTTGTTTTCTCTTCTATTTATAACTAACTGGTCATCACAGTACTGAGTTTGATTTATAAAAGTTGTGTCCCTTTTACCTGGTAATAAAGATGAACATTTTATGGCTTAAAGGTTTTCTAACATCATGTCTGTGGTTTGTTCCCTCCAGATCCCGCATGGACCTCCCTGCTTCTCCATCCCGCCAGGCGTGTTCATCGCAGCCCGCTCAGATGTTGTCCATAGACACAGGTCAGGTTGACCGGCAAGCTAGCGGCCGCATGGAAGTCTCAGCATCTGTGGAGCATGAAGCCCTGAGCAATGCCTTCCGCTCGGTCCCACTTGCTGAGGAGGAGGACTTTGACAGTAAGGAATGGGTCATCATAGACAAAGAGACCGAGCTGAAGGACTTCCACCCAGGAGCAGAACCCACCACCTCGGGGACAACAGATGAAGAACCTGAGGAGCTCCGGCCTTTAGATGACGGGGAGGAGAGGAGAAAGACTGTAGGCGGAGATGCTGCAGTAAGGCCTAAAATGCATGACGCTCGGCCTCGAACCATGCAGACTGTAGCTGAGGAAGAGACCTCCTCCCGACATGAAGGTTCTGATGGTAGAGCGGATGTTCCACCTGCGAGTCCATCACACTCCCATTCGGCATCACGACAACGGAGGAGGGAGTCTGACCCCACAGGACCTCAGAGACAGGTAAGAAAAGAGTTGATGGGAATTATGCCATACACATTAATCATGACCACAGGGTCACTTACATGTGTAAAGACTCAGTATGCCGGATGCATGGGGGAGATTATTAATACAGGGCAAGGTCCAGCAAAGTGTGAGATGTGTATCATAAGAAATACCATTGGTTATACACATCATCGCTGTAGGTGGCATGCACCAGTTCAGGACCTCTCCGCAGTACAGTGGTCACAGCATTATCAGCTGTTACTGGCAAGCACAAGAGGGAGCATGGTGATGTAATCAACAGGCCAGAAGTGTCTGATTCTCTAGGCTGCAGCTGCCATATTCCAAAAGAGCAGCATCCATATTGGACCCAAGGTCGGTCAGTTGAATCAGTCTGAGGGCAGAGTGTTAAAAACGAAAGAAGAAGCCCAACGGGAGGCAAGAAGAGTCTCTGAACAAGTGTATCATGTCAAAATGTGTATGTTAGCCAGAGACTCTAGAGCACGGGTGCCCATTAGGTAGATGGTGATCTACCAGTAGCTCTCAAAGCTGATGCTGGTAGATCAGGAAGGGGGGGGGAATGGCGGCCCCTTTATTCCATTTTGATATATTTATTTAGCTGTGCACACATGATTATTATTATTATTATTACATAGTATTTATATAGCGCCAACAGTTTGTGCAGCGCTTTACAATATAAGGAAGACATTACAGTTACAATACAATTCAAGACAAGATGGTGAGGAGGGCCCTGCCCCTGAGGGCTTACAATCTAAAAGAGGAGGGGGAAATGATACATGAGGTAGCTGTGGGAATGAATTATGTGAGAATGTGAAGGTACATAGGTACATGATTACCTATTAGCCCGAGTCTGCTGATCCGAGCTCCCTGACACCTTTCTGGTGGATACTTGTGGTTGAAGTGCTATGTATTACATCAAAGAATATTAGTTTACACAGCCTGTTGCACTACACTGTTTGCAAAATACAGCAAGGTGAGCCAGGAGAGAGAGTGGGGAGAGACAGCCAGGAGAGAGAGCAAGGAGAGACAGCCAGGGGAGAGAGCAAGGAGAGACAGCCAGGAGAGAGAGCGGGGAGAGACAGCCAGGAGAGAGAGCAAGGAGAGACAGCCAGGAGAGAAAATGAGGAATGACAGCCAGGAGAACGAGGAGAGAAAGCGAGGGAGGTTTTTTTTTTCGTTGGTAGATCTCATGTAGCTCGTCATTGGAAAAGTAGATCTTTACACAAAAATTGTGGGCACCCCTGCTCTAGAGTGACCCCTTCCACCTAGATTGACCCTCTCAATCCGGCGTGACCCCCTCCATTTGGCGTGACACCCTGCACCCAGCAAAACCCCCTGCACCCGGCATGATCCCCTCCACTCAGTATAACCATCCCCACTTGGCATGACCTGCTCCATTGCACATTACGCCCTCCACCTGGCTTTACCCCCTGCATCTGGCATGTCCCCATCTATCTTGCCTAATGCTGTCCTCCCAATTGTTGCGCTGCAGCTCTCACTGGATATAGTGAACCCTGGGTATATAAATTAATGATGCTGGCGAGTTGATAATAGTGCCGCCTCAACAATATGTTGTACACGGTGGAGGGTTTAGTTACCTGGGCAGCGTTTAGTAACTATCATCATCTCTGCAATGGGTCAAGTAGGTTCTGAAATACTGTTTAATTCTGATTTTTGTGTCTCCAGTGCACAGCCCATCTGGTTCCTGTAATATGTAGTAATCCTGACTTTTCTGTGCATCTCTGTGTCGCTCCACCTATATCTCTTCTGTACTGTGTAAATTGGTTTATATTGACTGCCGCAAAATCCACTCCTCAGAGCCTCCCAGCTACAGAGCTTTATTTCCTCCATAAGGGAGGTCCATTGGGAAGGGGCAGGTGGTGCAGGCCCATGGTACGGGGGTGCTCCCTGAAGACGCCCACAGCATGCACTAACGCCACACGTAGCTAGAAGCAGGAAGCAAGTCTCAACATTGCCTGACTCCTTTCCCTCCGCTCTTCTTGATGTTTTTCAGCTGGAGGAGGACAGGCTTTCCCAGCACCCCCTGCCGAGGTACAGCCCCCTCCGTAGACTGGCGTCTTCCGTCTTCTCATCCTCGACACTGGAGACAGAACATTATCCACATCCTACAGGCACCTTCATCCAGCGCAGCCGCTCCGCGGAGAGCAGTCCTATACGCCTGCCTCACCGTCGCCATCCTCCTCTGCCAGCTGGCAACCACAGACTGGTGCCCTCTGTGCTGCGCATCTCCCGCTCCCAGCTCCAACAGGTGTGGGCACGTTTCACACACAAAACATAGTTGTGCCATCGCCGGAGACGCCAAGGGCCAGAGGAGGGACAGCCATGATCAGGTAGCTGAGAGCCTGGAATATAAAATGCAATATAACCATCTGAAGACATCTGCGAGCTTCCCGCCTCTCCAAGGTACCAAGAAAAGTTCTGCTCCCTTTTCCGTCCTCCCTCAGAATACACCTCTCTCATCCCCGTGTTGGTGAAGAGAATTAAACCCGTTATGAGTCTGCCCCATTCTGCCTGCACAGAGCGCTCTGTGTGTGACCGATTCCTGGAGACTCCATTGTCCTCAGCCCGAACCCTGCCGTCCTCCACCGTCCCTTCACCAGCACTGAGCCTCGCCGGGGGCATTTCTGCACCACACTCTAAGGCGTATCCTCCGGAAACGGACACCACACAGAGGGAACGATGGAACCTACCCGCTTCATGTTGCAACCTAGTTTTTACGCTGAGTGGACGATGATAACCAACTGTGGATACAAGCCAGCCGCCACATGCAATAGGAGAGACTGCAGGGAATCGCTGTCTTCTTTCAGTTTCTGGTCTCTGCGAGACTACCTGCACTGCAGAAGGAAGACCTGGCGGAGCACAGGAATTGCATGCCCCACCGCCCGAGCCTGCGCCACCTGCCTGCCCCCCATACTAGCAACCCTGCTGTGCCTACCCGCTAAACCCTGAAATGCAATGGAGGCCCTAATTATAACCAAGGGCTCAATACAGAGGTGTCTTCTGGGAAAAGGAATGTGCAGCATTTATAGCAGTATTGAGCCTCATGCTGTAGCAGATCTGGGCAGCCTAGTTACTTATATGTCCCAGCATGCACGGGAAGTATACAGGGGCTTGTAGTTCTCCCCCTGTGCCCATGCTAATCTGTCACTAGCATACTGGTGGAGTGATGTTTCCTGGCCCTTCAGTTGCCCCCCATGGGTCTGGTTCTGCAGGGATTAGCCTGAATGTTACTCCACCTTTCTGTCAGGAGAGAACCAGGCAGCATAATAGCTTTCTAAGTAGTTGTAATCAATACTCCGGGGTCCTTTTGTCTGTCCAGGCTCTTATAGTCATCCCTTCCATTGTAGCCCTCCATCATTAGCGCCATGCTCTGAGAGATCTGTGGACACACGGAATGCTGTGTGTATTCTGTACACTGTTGTGTTTACCATCCTTTCATGGCAATGGACATTCATTATTGGGCACAATGGATACTCTAAGAGTCTGCACATGTGTGAGGGTACCATATGGGTAACAAATACTTCAGCTGGTGATCCGACGCACAATGTGACATCTGTTGGAGATATTTTACTTTTTTTCTGCCTGCCGTCCCCTGTTCTGTAATCCAGAAAGTACATACCTTACCATGTAACTCCTCCTATTCCATATCCCCCTCCTACCATGCCATGTAACTCTTCCTATTCCATATCCCCCTCCTACCATGCCATGTAACTCTTCCTATTCCATATCACTCCTCCTACCTTACCATATAACTCCTCCTATTCCATATCACCCCTCCTACCATGCCATGTAGCTCCTCCTATTCCATATCACCCCTCCTACCATGCAATGTAGCTCCTCCTATTCCATATCACCCCTCCTACCTCACATTGTAACTCTTCCTATTCCATAAAACTCTCCTATTATTCCATATCAGCCCACCCATCACGCCTTGTAACCCCTCCTATTCCATAAACCCCTACTTTTCCAAATCACCCCTCCTACCACTTCATGTAACCCCTCCTATTCCATTAAAAACCCTCCTATTACTCCATATCAGCCTACCCACCACACCATATAACCCCTCCTATTCCATATTACCCCTCTTACCATGCCTTGTAACCAATCCTTTTCCATAAACCCTCCTATCATGCCATATCACTCCTCCTACCACACCATGTTACCCCTCCTTTTCCATAAAACCCTCTTATTATTCCATATCAGCCCACCCACCATGCCCACCCACCATGCCTTGTAACCAATCCTAATTCATAAAACGTTCTTATTATTCCATATCACCCCTCCTACCAAACCATATAACCCCTCCGATTCCATAAACCCCTCCTATTATTCCATATCACTCTTCCTAACATGCCATATAACCCCTCCTATTCCTTAAAAACCTCCTATTATTCCACATCACTCCTCCTACCACACCATATAAACCCTCCTTTTCCATTTTACCCCACTTACCACGCCATATAACCCCTCCTATTCCATACAACCCTCCTATTATTCCATATCAGCCCTCCAAATATACCATATAACCTCTTCCTATTATGCTGCATAGCTCCTTTCACTGATACTCAGTACTGCTATATGCTGTGTGTGTTTATATTGCCCTCGGTGGGAGGATGGGATCCCGGGATCCTCTTCCCATGGATTGTCTATAGGACGTGGATTTGTGCTGCCTCCGGGATGTTATATGTTATATGATGAAATACACACGCAGACCTCACACGAGGAGGGGAGACCCTCCCTAAGCTTTCACTTTAAATTGATGCTGCTGCTGTTGAGTTGTTGTGTTAGTGGCACAGGCCTGTCGTGACATGGCCGCCACGCGGCATGATGATGACGATGTAATCCATGGACAGCCATAACCTTATATACGTGCCCCTGACTCGATAACTTGAATTTCTTAGATCTCAAGGTCTTACGGAAGAAGAAAATTGTGCACTTGAAGTTAAACTGTGAGCTAGTATTCCCCCACCACCACCCATACAGAATGTGGCTGAATGGAACGTCTCTGTGGCAACATACTGAGCCTGTCAGTGTGTCTGTGTTTGAAAGTATTGTGCATGCAACGTTCCTCACGGAAGATCTACATGATGCGCGATCCCTGAGAGCGTGTCGTGGATTCTGATTGGCTGCCACTCTTTGGTGCTCACTCCTTATTGCACAGGCAGTGAAGTGTCCACCCTCACTCCCCAGGCGGCAGCGTCGTGTGACGGGGATTTACACACTTATCGTTTTTTAATTTGTAAATTATTTAGTAGACTTTTTACAATATCCAAAGTTCTAAATGAGGAATCAGTGGTGAAGCGGAGGAAGTAGAAGCCACGAGAGAGAATGTCTGATTGTCAACAGACGTGGAAAGGGAAATGTATTGTATGCAATAATAAAAGATTGCAAACTACTGAGTGTCATGAATGCCTGATGCCCAAACTGGGTCTATCACATGTGACTACTGAGACCGAACACATATGAGATCCGGGAGACACACATGTCTTGTATATGAACCATCGGGTAGTAAGATAATATAGGATAAGTAGGATAATATTATTTTCAATGTGTCTCAATAATGTGTCTGTAGCTAAGAGTCATATTTGGTTCTGATTAAGCCTTGAATCTGGTTGGTTTCTGGAAAGACAGTCGGTTCTTATTTAAAACATGTTATGTAAATGGGCCCTTTGCTGTTACATTGGGTGCACAGGTCCAGCGTGTTTTGCTTGTCCATAATGGTCCATCATCAATGGCGGAACTACAGACATGCAGCTGCCAGTGGGCCTACAAGGTCTGAATGGGGCGCCAACCATCCAAGCCAGAGCCACAGTCAAGGGTATTCATTAGATACGTTGTGGTACATGCCATGGCATCACTAGAAGATGCCCTGAACACAGGAATATGGGAATGTAATGTTTCCAATCTGCCTATATTGGACGTTTTAATTGTGAAAGGCAGAGTGAGGATTGTGTGCCCCCCAGTCCTATAGGACTGCCACCCAGGATCCATGGAACCAAACCAAAATGCCTCCACTGAGCCAGCAGCTAAAATAGTCACATATCCATAGTCATGGCATGCTGCCCGACTTCCTGATTGATTAGGAAGCCAGGCTGCCTAGGAACAGGTGAAGCTGGCTTCCTAGCCAATCAAGAAGCCGGAAGGTAGGTCATGGCGTGCCGCCCGGCTTCCTGATTGGCTTAGAAGCCAGGTTCACCATCAGACACTGATGATTCTTGACCTTGGAGAGCAGCTTGTATCTGTTTAGAGGTTTTCCTGGGCACTTTGTCTACCAATCGCGCTATCCTTCTGTTCAATCTGGGGTCAATTTTCCTTTTGAGGACACATGAAGGGACATTGGTTACACTCCCATGGACCTGCTTCTTAATAATATTTCCAACTATAGTCACTGGAACATGAAGCTGCTTGGAGATGGCCTGATAGACTTTTACCTTTGACATGCTAGTCTATATTTTCTTTCTGACCTCCTGTGAAAACTCTCTCCTTTGCTTTCTCTGGTGCACATTCACGATGATACCAAAAAGCAGAGTACGGTAACTACTTTTCTCCATTTAAATTTCGCTTACTGACTGATTACAACATTTTATTAAGAAAATAATATTATTATTGGAATTATTATTAGGAGGTTTGAAATAACACAATGATCCAATTATTTATAATCTTTTCTAGAGGCATCTCTCTTTCTACACTTTCTTTGTGTTACTCTTTGACATACCAAAGGCAAGTAGGTATACATGGGACGATTGCTTTTAATTTCATCACTTTTCAAGGGGAATAAAGCATGGTTTCAAATACCTGTAAGGGTACTTACAAATGTGTCCACATCTGTATGCATTTAATCCTTATGCTATAGCACATGCTGAAATTCAGAGGTTCCAGAGGTATTTGTTGGATGTTCATTTTACTTTTTGTACTTAGCATCACTTGACATTCCCTCTTCCATCATGTGGCTCTTCCTTTGTTTCCTTTCACAGGTCTTCAGCCTGAAGCACTTTGATATTGTTGGATTGCCCAAGGTGGTGCCTTTAAATCTGTCATACCAAGACTTCAAGAAAGATATTTCGGATAGTAAGGAAATGCTGCGTGTTCCTCACCGGATTAAAAGGGTGGACTTCTCCAGTGTGGTCTTGCCAGCCATGCATCCCACAGAACCCCACATCATCATCAATGGCAAGTACCCAAGAGAGGAGGAGGCTGAAGAAGAGACCGAGGAGGAAGAGGAGGTTGAGTTTCTAGGCGAAGACCTCCATAGTGGGTCAAGCAGCGAAGTCAGTCAGAAGAGCACGGAACGCAGTCAGGAAGGGGCTCCCTCTACACTACTGGCAGATGATCAAAAGGATTCAAAAGGCAGAGCTTCCACAGCAGAGAATGACTTAGAATTAGAAGAAGGATCAAAGACCTTAGTACTGTTTTCCCCCGGAGATATGAAGAAGTCACCGGTTACCAATGAACTGATGCCGGACGTTGACTTGGGAACTCTCAATGCGCTGACCCCCCAAGGGGAGAAACCCCAGCCTACTGGCAGTCAATTAGATGTGTCTGAACCATGGACTTTATCTTCCATTCTGAAATCAGAACCCAAACCACCAAGCACAGCTGCTGCCGCTACCGCCTCCTCCCCTTTTACCAAAGTTGAACGCACATTTGTTCACATTGCTGAAAAGACGCACTTAAATGTTATGTCTTCCACTGGGCAGCTGATAAGGCTGGAGGACACTGCCATCCCTGGGCAGTTGGATGAGCCCATTATTGAGGAGGAAATTGAAGAGTTTGCTGTGCAAAAAGATAACGGTGCCATGAACTCTTTTGTAGAAACAGCCGAAGTTGACAGCTACGCTGTCTCGACAAGTAATGTAGATGTTGAAGTGGAGTTCCAGGCCAACCAACTTGCTGCTAATGGAGTAAGCAAGTCTGAAGAGCTGCTGGGGAAGGACACCACGGACCTTGTATTCAAAGATGATAACAAGCAGGGAAAGATTGTGCTTCCCACCGATCGCCTTAATGAAACCGATGTTGGTAAGAGTGTGACCCAAGCTATGGGGATTCGCTTTAAAAGTCGTATTCCTGTTTTCCTATCGGAGGAAGAAACAGGATCAGATAAGTCGATGTCGCATTCTGCCAAAGAAAGGTTCCACAAGAGGACAAAGCAGATAGACCTGGCGCGCCTTGTAATGGAGAAGAGGCAGATGCGGTTGCAGAGGTTGGCCTCGGTAGGCTCATCTTCTGCTTCTTCTAGCGATGAAAGGAGGAGAACATCCGAAACACTGTCCACTGCAGGATCTGAGGAAGACACACATGAGTCAGATGACTCCATCCCAAGGAAAGCTGCTAAGGAGAAAGTAATCTCCATGAGGAAGGAAGAGATGACGTGTAATACTAGAAGCAGAATTCCTCGCCCCATCACCCCCATAAAGGATATACGTTCTATGCTCCCACCTTCTGCAACTGTCAGCAAGCTGAAAGAAACTGCAGTGACACAGAGGTAAGGAAATTCTGGGAGGTCTTCAGATTAATTATTTTAGTGAGAAGTGAAAATTAGACTTTAAAATGCATACAGAGGACACAACCATCCTGCCCCAGGTTTCTGCTTCCCATCGAGGGATATTTGTCCTTAAAGGAGAATTATGAGGTGATTGTCACTCCTCCTCATAGTTCTAGCCGACCTGTGACAATAAAACTGTCACAGGTCGGCTCAATAGATCGGGAAGTGAGCGAACACATACCGGCGCTCGCTCACTTCTCGATCTATCCGCGCAGAGAGCCGTGACTGTCACTCACGGCTCCCTGCAGGGATTCCTCCCCTCTCTGATCCTCCAGCGCTGACTGGCAGGATGGATGGGGGAGGGGGCAGGTACAGCTGGTTCTGCCTGTAGACAGAATTGTCGGGATCCGTTCCGGCGTCTCAGTATACCGCGAGCTGTAGCTCTCTATATACTGAGCTTTGGGTGACGGGAGGACGCTAGTTTGTGTCCTCCCGTTACCCTTAGGAGAACTATGGGGAAAAGCCCTGACCCCATAGTTCTCCTTTAAATAGACAACCCACTAGTTAGAATCCACTTATTGCTGCTAATTTGTAGGCTACTTGGCGTTTAATAGATGAGCAAAGAGAAACTGCAGAACATCAAGTGTCAGCTCAGATAAGAGATATGGAATAGTTACCTGCATTAGCGCAGCTGCAATGTTTCCTGGAAAGTAGTTCACTGACTGAGTCCCATTTCTACAAAGACGTTCATACAGAATTCAGAATGAAAGAACAACTCTCTGTCCAGGGGCGATCACATCAACTTATTATTGACTTGGAGCAAGCATGTGTTTGGGTAAAGACCCCAAGGTTGGACCAGAGTGGTTCCTTCATGTGTCCAGCAGGTCAGGGAGTTCTGATCAAGTTAGAATATGGTAGATCCCATCGCACCCCTGACCGGAAAACCCCAAAGTGTTTGGGTACTGGAGTGAAGTCTTTGTGAAAACATACAGAAGACAACCCCATTCTGCTGCTATTTACTTGTCTTTATGAGAGAGAGAGAGAGGGAGAAAGAGAGAGCATATAATGGAGGTAAGGTGCCACCATATATGCATCAGGGCGGCCTCAGATACCTTTTCTATTATTGCCACAGCCAGGAACCCCTAAACATGTGATGAGAGAAGAACTTGATCAGAAACTGTAACTGGTAGAAAGTCACTCGCACTCCAGAAACCTTTGTAGTCAATCTTCTTTACGGACCATCAAAGTGTCACATAAGTTTTGGGACGTTTCGAGACCGTCTGGTCTCTTCTTCAGGCAAAACACTTTTGTTTTGCCTAAAGAAGAGACCAGACGGTCTCGAAACGTCCCAAAACTTATGTGACACTTTGATGGCCAAGAAAGAAGATTGGCTACAAAAGTTTCTGGAGTGCGAGTGACTTTCTACCAGTTACAGTCTCATCACATGTTTAGGGGTTCCTGGCTGTGGCAATAATAGAAAAGGTACCTGAGGCCGCCCTGATGCACATATGGTGGCACCTTACCTCCATTATATGTTCTCTCTCTCTCTCTCTCTCTCACAAGTATATAGCAGCAGAATGGGGTTGTCTTCTGTATGTTTTCCCAAAGACTTCTCACCATAGAAGAAGTTATCAATGCTAAAGAAATATCAAACATAGATAAGAAACAGGAAAGATGGGCCTCGGTATGAAACTGATTTTGTCTTAGTACCAGAGGCGGGGCCTATAACTTGTATTCACACTGCATGTTGTCTGCTATCAGTGCCGTTTTCATTATCTCCTAATTACATCTTCCAATGTTCATTTTAGGTATCCGCTTCCACGAGCAGCCACATGTGCCACCATCGGCCTCTCTCCTGACCACAAACCCAAAGCACTTCACATGCGGCTACCCCCGCTTTCCAGTCCAACACCTTCAAGAACCAATGTAAGGAGGGTCAGCCGCGGGCCACCAAAAAGCCCAGCGGTCGCGTCCCGAACACTCAGCGCTTCTCCGCGTAGCCAGTCCCTCTCCAGAACTGAAAGCCCATCTCCGTCCAGACAGAGGAGACCAGTTGCCACCACTTCCCGCTTCCACCCTCCTCCTAAACTTCCGGCTAGAGCGCAGGTCCCGGGAGAGTGTCCAGCGACCCCTGCTGCCACAAGGAAGGGACAGAGACTGAAGGTCCAAGTGCCGAACTTGGCCACCAAAGCACAGCAGGGCGCTAGCGATGCCAGAGGAACGGGCAGATAATGGGTGGCAGGATACAATCTGGTAAAAGAGCCATCTCTACCGTCACTCTGGCTCAGTCAGGGAACATCGTGCATCATTCAACCTGTAATACGCAATACACACACACACACACACATGCTAGAGGTGGATCCCACAAGCAGGAAAGCATTACTAGCCAGGGTGCCGCCATCTTCTCTTGTTTTAAATTTGGCACGGCTGGGTGTATCTACAACATTTCTCTGAACGAATGCCAGTAAGCGCTATAGATTTATCCGCCCTCATCCACTGTGTGAAGCCGCTAACTCGAGTTCTACAGATCTCCAGCTGAAGGGCAGTGACGCAATCACTGTTCTGCGATAATATCGCCATGGGCCTTGGCGCTGTCTCGCGCCAAGACTTCCCGGGTGTGGGTCTTACATGCCTACTCCCACCGGTCATCGTATGCCGAGGCATCTATTGGCGCCAAGTAACTGCAAACTAAACATATATCTTATGTACGCTGGTGTACTATAAATATATAGTATGTGTCAATGCTATGCATACATACATAGAAGAGACATGACAGGGCTTGAATGTCTCCCCGGTCACATGACCCAGGGATACCCCGATATTCCGATATCATACAGCAAGCACTATAGTATTGTCCTGACAGTCATTTTGCCCTGCCAAAAGTTTTGTAAACTATTTTTGTGGGGGGGACACGGTGATATATAAGAGACTGCCGAGTTCAAGAGCTTAGTGGGACGGGAGGAAGAAAACCCACGGCTGTGACCATTGCACACCTATCGCACTGTTAATGATAAAGCACCTCAGTATACCATAGAGCGGCACAATGTGTCTGTCGTTCCAGCATTGGGAGATGTCACGCTCCCGGGAATGAGAAGATCTTCTTGTACTTGGCAAAGATTATGTGGGGTCCAAGGACTCAAACAATCTGTTTACACGCTGCAACCAGAATGTATAAGCCCCGCACCTGTATTTAGCCAACCCCACACGCATGTCATGGGGGAGGTATCACAGAGCGATGGAGGCGGGCTGGAGGTCTCCTCACCTCACACACCATCACAGATTGTGGGGGAGAACGTACTATATAATGCTTCTTATTACATGACCGCCATCCCATTATGTCATCAAATAAAGCCTGCTATCTAAAGGCCGGACTCTGACTTCTGCTCTGACAGAGGGGGACGCATGCAGGCAGAGAGGCATGCAATATGTCATGGATACAGGGTGAGAGAGGAGTGTGGTGTGTGATGGACACAGGGTGAGAGAGGAGTGTGGTATGTGATGGACACAGGGTGAGAGAGGAGTGTGGTATGTGATGGACACAGGGTGAGAGAGGAGTGTGGTATGTGATGGACACAGGGTGAGAGAGGAGTGTGGTATGTGATGGACACAGGGTGAGAGAGGAGTGTGGTATGTGATGGACACAGGGTGAGAGAGGAGTGTGGTATGTGATGGACACAGGGTGAGAGAGGAGTGTGGTATGTGATGGACACAGGGTGAGAGAGGAGTGTGGTATGTGATGGACACAGGGTGAGAGAGGAGTGTGGTATGTGATGGACACAGGGTGAGAGAGGAGTGTGGTATGTGATGGACACAGGGTGAGAGAGGAGTGTGGTATGTGATGGACACAGGGTGAGAGAGGAGTGTGGTATGTGATGGACACAGGGTGAGAGAGGAGTGTGGTATGTGATGGACACAGGGTGAGAGAGGAGTGTGGTATGTGATGGACACAGGGTGAGAGAGGAGTGTGGTATGTGATGGACACAGGGTGAGAGAGGAGTGTGGTATGTGATGGACACAGGGTGAGAGAGGAGTGTGGTATGTGATGGACACAGGGTGAGAGAGGAGTGTGGTATGTGATGGACACAGGGTGAGAGAGGAGTGTGGTATGTGATGGACACAGGGTGAGAGAGGAGTGTGGTATGTGATGGACACAGGGTGAGAGAGGAGTGTGGTATGTGATGGACACAGGGTGAGAGAGGAGTGTGGTATGTGATGGACACAGGGTGAGAGAGGAGTGTGGTATGTGATGGACACAGGGTGAGAGAGGAGTGTGGTATGTGATGGACACAGGGTGAGAGAGGAGTGTGGTATGTGATGGACACAGGGTGAGAGAGGAGTGTGGTATGTGATGGACACAGGGTGAGAGAGGAGTGTGGTATGTGATGGACACAGGGTGAGAGAGGAGTGTGGTATGTGATGGACACAGGGTGAGAGAGGAGTGTGGTATGTGATGGACACAGGGTGAGAGAGGAGTGTGGTATGTGATGGACACAGGGTGAGAGAGGAGTGTGGTATGTGATGGACACAGGGTGAGAGAGGAGTGTGGTATGTGATGGACACAGGGTGAGAGAGGAGTGTGGTATGTGATGGACACAGGGTGAGAGAGGAGTGTGGTATGTGATGGACACAGGGTGAGAGAGGAGTGTGGTATGTGATGGACACAGGGTGAGAGAGGAGTGTGGTATGTGATGGACACAGGGTGAGAGAGGAGTGTGGTATGTGATGGACACAGGGTGAGAGAGGAGTGTGGTATGTGATGGACACAGGGTGAGAGAGGAGTGTGGTATGTGATGGACACAGGGTGAGAGAGGAGTGTGGTATGTGATGGACACAGGGTGAGAGAGGAGTGTGGTATGTGATGGACACAGGGTGAGAGAGGAGTGTGGTATGTGATGGACACAGGGTGAGAGAGGAGTGTGGTATGTGATGGACACAGGGTGAGAGAGGAGTGTGGTATGTGATGGACACAGGGTGAGAGAGGAGTGTGGTATGTGATGGACACAGGGTGAGAGAGGAGTGTGGTATGTGATGGACACAGGGTGAGAGAGGAGTGTGGTATGTGATGGACACAGGGTGAGAGAGGAGTGTGGCGTGTGATGGACACAGGGTGAGAGTGGAGTGTGGCATGTGATGGACACGGGATGAGAGAGGAGTGTGGCGTGTGATGGACACGGGATGAGAGAGGAGTGTGGTATGTGATGGACACGGGATGAGAAAGTGTCAGAGAACAATGAAAACCAAACAAGCAGAAGGTGTTAGGTAAAATGTTTATTGGGAACAAGCAGAATCATAAACCGGAACCGGAGTCAGGAGCCGGAGGAGAACGTCAACCCAGGTCAGGAACACGGAGATCAGCGTCGTCAGGAACAAGCCAGGAGCCAGCGGCGACCATCAGCCAGGCTCAGGTCATACACGGAATCAGGATGCGCAGCAGGAAGACCACGCAAGGTCAGACTGGACTGAGTGGTGTATGTATAAAGTGAGTGGAGTGACATCATCACTCAGAGACAGGAAACTCCCCTCTGGCTCTCTCAGATGACGCTCGCCTCCTGTTTGGCCATAAGAGGGAGCCGCGGAGTAGTGAGCAACGTTCCAGAGTCTCCTCAGACAAAGGAGGAATCACAGGTGGGTGGAATGGCAGCCAAGCCAGAATGCTGCAACACGGATAAATCAGAGTGGAACCCTGGCAGAAAGGAGTGTGCCGTGTGATGGACACAGGGTGAGAGAGGAGTGTGGCGTGTGATGGACACGGAAGAGAGGAGTGTGGCGTGTGATGGACACGAGGTGAGAGAGGAGTGTGGCGTGTGATGGACACGGGGTGAGAGAGGAGTGTGGCGTGTGATGGACACGGGGTGAGAGAGGAGTGTGGCGTGTGATGGACACGGGGTGAGAGAGGAGTGTGGCGTGTGATGGACACGGGGTGAGAGAGGAGTGTGGCGTGTGATGGACACGGGGTGAGAGAGGAGTGTGGCGTGTGATGGACACGGGGTGAGAGAGGAGTGTGGCGTGTGATGGACACGGGGTGAGAGAGGAGTGTGGCGTGTGATGGACACGGGAAAGAGAGGAGTGTGGCGTGTGATGGACACGGTGAAGAGAGGAATGCGGCATGCTACTGACTTCTTTTGGGGGGGATGGTGGTAGAGGGAGAAGTGACCCTCATATACTGGGGGAGGGGTCAGGTATCTCCTCTCCGGATTCGTGGCGTCGTGGTAATCCTTAATATTTGTTTCGCACACCAAATGGAAATGAGTAAACGTTCACACACAGCATACGTGGCCCCTAGAATTCATAGACGGTCCGATCTCCTAGACCACACATCCCGTGTGTATCATATTAGAAAGTCCACCAAACAGAAAATGATATACTGCAGCAAAGTCCACACACAGGATTGTGTACACGGTGTCACCATATGTGATATACACAACAGCATCCAGTACATCAGAATGCCACCACAGGACGCGGCGTGGGTGACGGTGCAAAATACATACAATGAGCGAATGTTTTCACACGCAATGCCAACAACGTGGCAAGGAGGAGAGAACCAGGTATGGCACTTCCTGTAGTGACACGGTCAATGAAAACCAAACAAGCAGAAGGTGTTAGGTAAAATGTTTATTGGGAACAAGCAGAATCATAAACCGGAACCGGAGTCAGGAGCCGGAGGAGAACGTCAACCCAGGTCAGGAACACGGAGATCAGCGTCGTCAGGAACAAGCCAGGAGCCAGCGGCGACCATCAGCCAGGCTCAGGTCATACACGGAATCAGGATGCGCAGCAGGAAGACCACGCAAGGTCAGACTGGACTGAGTGGTGTATGTATAAAGTGAGTGGAGTGACATCATCACTCAGAGACAGGAAACTCCCCTCTGGCTCTCTCAGATGACGCTCGCCTCCTGTTTGGCCATAAGAGGGAGCCGCGGAGTAGTGAGCAACGTTCCAGAGTCTCCTCAGACAAAGGAGGAATCACAGGTGGGTGGAATGGCAGCCAAGCCAGAATGCTGCAACACGGATAAATCAGAGTGGAACCCTGGCAGAAAGGAGTGTGCCGTGTGATGGACACAGGGTGAGAGAGGAGTGTGGCGTGTGATGGACACGGAAGAGAGGAGTGTGGCGTGTGATGGACACGAGGTGAGAGAGGAGTGTGGCGTGTGATGGACACGGGGTGAGAGAGGAGTGTGGCGTGTGATGGACACGGAAGAGAGGAGTGTGGCGTGTGATGGACACGAGGTGAGAGAGGAGTGTGGCGTGTGATGGACACGGGGTGAGAGAGGAGTGTGGCGTGTGATGGACACGGGGTGAGAGAGGAGTGTGGCGTGTGATGGACACGGGGTGAGAGAGGAGTGTGGCGTGTGATGGACACGGGGTGAGAGAGGAGTGTGGCGTGTGATGGACACGGGGTGAGAGAGGAGTGTGGCGTGTGATGGACACGGGGTGAGAGAGGAGTGTGGCGTGTGATGGACACGGGGTGAGAGAGGAGTGTGGCGTGTGATGGACACGGGGTGAGAGAGGAGTGTGGCGTGTGATGGACACGGGGTGAGAGAGGAGTGTGGCGTGTGATGGACACGGGGTGAGAGAGGAGTGTGGCGTGTGATGGACACGGGGTGAGAGAGGAGTGTGGCGTGTGATGGACACGGGGTGAGAGAGGAGTGTGGCGTGTGATGGACACGGGGTGAGAGAGGAGTGTGGCGTGTGATGGACACGGGGTGAGAGAGGAGTGTGGCGTGTGATGGACACGGGGTGAGAGAGGAGTGTGGCGTGTGATGGACACGGGGTGAGAGAGGAGTGTGGCGTGTGATGGACACGGGGTGAGAGAGGAGTGTGGCGTGTGATGGACACGGGGTGAGAGAGGAGTGTGGCGTGTGATGGACACGGGGTGAGAGAGGAGTGTGGCGTGTGATGGACACGGGGTGAGAGAGGAGTGTGGCGTGTGATGGACACGGGGTGAGAGAGGAGTGTGGCGTGTGATGGACACGGGGTGAGAGAGGAGTGTGGCGTGTGATGGACACGGGGTGAGAGAGGAGTGTGGCGTGTGATGGACACGGGGTGAGAGAGGAGTGTGGCGTGTGATGGACACGGGG